AGATGGAGGAAATATTTATTATTAGGAAGAGTTAGAAAATATAGAAGGAAAAAGGAAAAATATGGAGAAGAATACAGAAGACCATCTCTGGGTCTTCCCCTCATGGGCCTGGCAGGAGGAATGCAGCTGTGTACCTCCCACCTGAATAATCTTCTAACTCTGTCAGCCAAGCACAGGGCAAAATGAAACTCAAATTATCTCCTTTCGGGGAGATTATGGGGGTGAACACACAACCTGTCCCACACACATCCTTCGTCCAGAACTGTTACGCTCTGCCCTTCCAGGGACAATCTAAACAGTGGTCCTCACTTCGGAATCTCAGGCCCCAGGGCCCCTTCTGCAGGTGAAGCACGAAACTTTTGGAGTTCCTTCTACCCAGTTTGAAGAGGATGGAAGGGATTCCCTAAAATACAGGATTTAAGCAGAAGTGAGGGGGTCAGGAGAGAGCCAGAACTGGAACTGGAGGTGAATCCTTAACCTGAAATGATAACCAAAATTTTGTACAAGGAGGTATTTTCCGAGGAGAGGGTCCAGAATGAATATTGGAGTCTCAAAAGGAATGAAGGTCTTTAAAAGCATAACCAGTAAAACTACACCACGTTTTTCATTTGTCTGTTTTTTGTACCGGGGATCGAACTCAGGACCTTTCGCTTGCAAGGCAGGCAAGGTGCTGCTAAGATAAATCCCAGCCCTACACGTGTTTTTAGTAAATATGGATCCAGGGACAGATAAGGTGAGTCCTTTTGCCAGGGTGTGACCCCAACATCCATCCTCCTTGCTGGCAGGAGTGCCTCAAAATCCTATGCCAAGTCTGGGACAGAAAACAGCCTCGCTTCGCGAATGACTGCAGAGATGCTATGGAGAAATCTGAATATAAAATACTTATTTTCAAATTAAATTAAATGTGAAGAGTGGGACTTACCCTTTTGTCTTGTTGGATAAAGTCTTAATACCATAGTGTAGATTTTTACATTTCTCTGTCAGCTGGAGTGACTTCTCATTCAGATATGTGCTGTTTCTTGAAAGAGATAAAAAAAGATTATTTAAAATGAAAGCCTATAAGATATTGTTAAGCAACAACAGATTTAATTGATAAGGTGTGTCCAAATGAAGTCTGATTTTCATTCCAGTACTGGATTTCTCCATGGAAAAGGAAATTAATATTTTCACCTCTGACAGTTCTAAATTAAAAAAAAAAAAAAGTTTACACTACAAAGGCAAACTAAAGAGAAATCTATGTTGGACACATTACATTTCCACGTTTTCATATTTTGAGGATGGTATTTAAAATGAACAGGTTACTGAATAGTTTTAACCACTGTGCATGTAAAAAGTCTCTATTTTTAAAAGACAACTGTTAGGAAGCATGCAGACTCAGGAGATTAATAGTTCTTTCCATAAAGAACACAGGTAAAGCTGGCTTTTGTTAGAATAGCTGTGATACAAGGGCCTGGTGCTGCTGCTTTATGAACTTGGAAAATTGGAACCTTAATAAAACCAAAGCAAAAAGCAGGTTAAAGAGATAGGTTATAGCACTGTGGACATAACTGGCCTTGTGGACATAACTGGCCTTGTGGACATAACTGGCCTTGTGGACACAGGCGTATTTTTTTGAAGCAGGGTCTCACTGTGTAGTTCAGGCTGCCCTTGAACTCACTATGTAGCTCAGGCTGGGTTTAAACTCGTAGATCCTCCTGCCTCAGTCTCCCAAGTGCTAAGATTACACGTATGCACCACTGTGCCTGACACAGACATCTTGTCTAACTGCATATTTAGACATCTCTAAAGTGAAGACAATAGTTCCCAGCTCTAAATATTTTTATCACGACACATTTATGTTGCACAAAACATATTAAAAGTACCTGGTACCATGCTTCTGGCATAGTACTCAAAAACTATTGACTATCACTTCCTTTAAACTTTAAAAATATGTGCACAACCATCTTATGGTTAAGGCATTGACTTAGTCATCCTAAAAGAATCCGTTGGGAATCGAGTATGAGACACAAGATGTTTAGGACCGGGAGACAGATAAAACAGGCAGGGTCCCTTTCCCTAGTGGAGCCTGCCGTGTGGGTAGACAGCAAGACAGTTACCAGACAACCAAACATGCAAATATAGGGATATGAGGGATGTCATTTAGGGAGAAATGCCAAGGACGAGCCAAGAAGAACTTCGGGAAGTCGGTGATGTTGGAGGGGAATGTTCCAGCCTGAGGAGGAAGTAGGTCAAAAGGGCTCAGGATGGGGCATCCCCGACTGTTTGAAGAACTGCAGGAAGGTATGGAGGTAGTGGATAAACAGCTGTGGCGAAACCACTCAGGCCTAGAGGGCCATATTAAAGACTTTAGAATTTATCCTAAACGCAAGGGGAAGCAACAGGTTTGTGGACAGGGGAGGGGCAGGCCTTGGTGTATTTTTTAACTGTTTCACTAAGGCCACTATGCAGAGAACTGGGGGGTAACGGGGCTAGGAAGGAAGTCGAAAGACATTTGTGCAGGATTTCAGGAGAGACGATGGCAAGTTGTTTTACTCTGTGGGATAGATTAGTGGTTTTCTATGATGTGATACCAAACTACACCGGCTTCTCAGTCTGTCATAAAATGCCCACTGCTTGCATGGGTGGCCTTCTAGGGCAGCTGTACCCTGTAGAGCTCGGGGACTGTGACAGTTAACTTTCTATCAATTGGACTGGACCAAGAGGTGCCCAGGTACTTGCAAAACACGATTTCTTGGTGTGCCTGTGAAAGTGTCTCTGGAGGTAATTAGCATCGGAGCTGATGGCTGAGTAAATAAGATCCACACTCCCAGTGGGTGGGTGGGGTGGGGGGCACCACACAGTTGATCGAGGGCCAGGTAGAACAACAGCAAAAAGAGGTCAGGACGAATGCACCCTTCTCTTCCTGCCCTTGGACATCCATGCTCCTGATTTTCAAACTCAGGCTCATTCCTGGGCTTCCAGAGTGAGACTGGGATCCCCACCCATTGTGCCACTCCAGCCTCAGGCCTTTGGACTTGGATTGGACTATACCAACAGCTTTCCTGGGTCTGGCTTGCAGATGGCCGATTATGGGACCTCTCTGCCTCCATACTCGATCCCATGAGCCGACCCACCATCATAAATCTTTCTATTTTCTTTTTAAGGGAACTTGAAGATCTGTTTATTCAGCTAGTGGCTCATGTCAGGTGATCAGTAAAAATGTGAGTTGGATTATGCGACAAACCAAGTATTTGAAAAATACTTTATCTTATTTATTACATCAATGGTATTTTGATTCTTTTTGACGTAAGTATGCATGTTCACGTCAGAATAGTGTCTCATGCCTGCCTTTCACCAGGTTAATGTGTTAACCTGTAATTAATTAATAGCCACCATCAAATCACAATTTTCTTTTTTCCCGTGCTAAGGATCATACTCAAGAGTGTCATGTGTGCCAGGCAAACATTCTTCTACTGACCTAACCACCAGCCCAAAGTCATCAGTTTTTTGTTTGTTTCGAGACAGGGTCTTGGTCTGCAATTCAGGCTGGCCTTTAACTATGTAGCCAAGGCTGGCTTTGAACTTGTGGCAATCCGCCTGCCTCAGCCTCCCTAATGCTGGGATTATAGCTGTGTGCCACCATGCCTGGCTCCAAAGTCACCAATTTTTTAAGAGACTCAGAACAGACTAAAATGATTCTCGTTCTAAAAAATTTTAAATCATCAAGAGAACTTTTTTTTTTTGGTACTGGGGACCTTGCACTTGCAAGGCAGGCAGAACCAATGAGCTAAATCCCCAGCCCAAAAGAACTTTTACTGAGTTGTTTCATTTAATTCATATCCATTTAGTTGGTATTCTGGATGATTTGTACGTTCTATTATAAATTCTTCAAGCAAGCCGGTTGACTACAAAGCAAAATTACACAAAAGGATCTTAAATTTTATTACATATTTTTTTTGGTGGTGCTGGAGTTCATTCCATGGCCTTATGCATGCCAGGCAACCAACTACCACTGAGCTACAGCACTGGCCCTGTGTGATAAAAGTAAATTTTAACAAAACTGATGACAAAGATTCTAGACTAGAGTCTGGGTTCTACATAACAGATCCTACTCTCTGATCACACTACCTATCTAATTATAGAAATGTTTACTTGCTGATAAAAATAATATTCACCAATGTTACATGCATGATGTTTTATTCTTTGAAGAATGGTTCTAAAACATCACACACACTGAGGCCAAAAAACAAAGTTTGCGGTAAATGGTTTTGTGAGGATGAGTTATAAAGCATGTAATGCTTGTTCATTCTAAGGAATCCTGATCTTGGAGCCTATGATGTACCAGTTGGCAGTAGCACCCACGTATCCCAGAGCTGGTCATTATTTTTCTCCTGTTTGCACAGACTTCTTCTCATTAGCTGCCTTCTGCTTTTGTTGTATGATCTCAGAGTCCCTCTGCTTTCCTTAAGAAGTAGTCAAGCTATTGTCTTTTCTTTTTCCCTTGCTAATTTCTTGGGTTTTCTTCATATTCTTCTGTCGGGCAAGTTCTCCTTGATCATCGCCTTTGCATGTCAATTGCCAGTCCACAGGTAACCCAAACCCTGTAGTTTGGCAGTTTGGTTCTCAACTCCCTGATCCGGCAGTGCTCTAAATCTTTCTATCTATGACCCACTGGTTCCATTTCTCTAAGAACCCTGACTAATACAGGACCCAAACTGCTCCAGTCTGGTCCTATCTTCGTTCCAGCAACTGGCTTCCATAATTGCTGGGGCAAGAGCACAAAGTACCAGAAAACCTGACCCTGGGAGTGGATGTTTTAGCACAGATGCAAGATGTGCCACTGGCCTAAATCAGTTACACACACCCTCACCTGATTGAAAAAGGGAAAAGAGCAATGAACCACCTTCTAGAGTTTCCAGAGAGGCGATGTGAGTACAGGTAATGTGACAAGAAGAAACATCAAACTCTCATTTTCTTTACAAAACAAAGGGTTTGTTTTCTTTCTCATAAAATGCCCACTTGGAGATGCAGCTCATCTGTGCCCATTGGCAAGAAAAGTGGGAATACTGGAGATCTATTTCAGATACAAGACAGACAGTACTTTATGAAGCACTGGATACAGGAGGAAGGGGAGGCATAAAAGGAAAGATATAAACAAGACATTCATAATTACTTCTCCAATATTTCTCAGAAATGCTGTCTAAAAATTCTGGGTTCAGAGTTACCTCTGGGCTCAGAAAATCCCTCTTAATCCTGATATGATTTCTCTCCCTGCCACTTCCTTCTCCTCTCTCTCCTTCTGTTTCTATGCTCACCTTGTGTGGTCTCTGAACGTATGATCATAGTTCCCAAGGATTTGTGTATTTCTAATTTGCCGTGCGTTTTATTCAGGCAGCATTGTTAATGAAGTGAATTACCAAGCTAGCAATGCTTTGAATTATGATAGCTTTGCAATATTGGATTTCGAAACTGTGACAACCAGGCACCACAGAATTGTTTCTCATATGCCTTCCCTTAAATTGGAGAGTGTCTCTCTTTCTTAATAAAAACTCAGAATAGGTTTGCCGAACTAAAAATCACAGAGGGTGAACGGAAAGCAAATGAATACTGTACCCGGGGTAACAGAGGAGGTGACAGAATGAAGACAGGAAAGAAAATGGGGTGCTCAGAATTTCAGATTTGGGGTAGAGGGATGTCAGCCTTGAATCTGGGCTCTACGCTGGCCTTAACCTTCAGCCTAAGGGTTCCTGTTCTCAATTCCCTCTCACTAAAGTAGTTAAAGAGATTAAAGGATGTGTATAAAACATCTGACACACAGAAATCAGTCGATAAATGTTGTGTTCTTACTCCCCCACCTCATCCCTGTATTCTTTTCCCAAGCTAGTCACTGTCATTACCCCTGGGATTGGAAATCTCTCACACCTATAGGAAGTCACTCAAAAATGAAAATGACAGGGAAGCTTTTAGTCTGCTCTGCTTTCTGTGCCTCTCCTGTCCCCTTTCATTCAAAACCTTTAGAATTTTCTTCCTTTC